CCCTAACCCTAACCCTAACCCTAACCCTAACCCTAACCCTAACCCTAACCCTAACCCTAACCCTAACCCTAACCCTAACCCTAACCCTAACCCTAACCCTAACCCTAACCCTAACCCTAACCCTAACCCTCAGTAATGTGCGCAAAATACTAGATCGAAACAAAGAACACATATTTAACAAAAGGTGCGAAAATATTAGGTCAAAATAGAGGTCACAAAATGTTAGACGCGTCTCAAGAATGTTAGATTGAATCTGATGTCAAAAATAAATGTCGGTCAATGTGCTCCAAATGTTAGATCAGGTTTGAAATGACGGTTAGTCTTGTGCTCCTTCGACTTGTGCTCCTCCAGCAGAGTGAGCGCTGTTCAGCAGTGCGCTCCTCTTGATTGTACTGCTCCAGCAAAGTGTGCGCTCCTCTCGATCGAGCTCCTCTAGATTGTGCTGCTGCAGCAGAGTGAGCACTCCAGTCAATTGAGCTCCTGTCGATTGTGCTCTTGTCAAATGAGCTCCTGTCGATTGCTCTGCTCTCGATTGAGTTCCTGTCAATTGCGCTGCTCTTGATTGAGCTCCTGTCGAATGCACTCCTGTCGATTGCGCTCCTCTCTGCTGCTCGTTTCTCGATTGCACTCCTGTGGATTGCGCTTCTCTCCAATCAGCTCCTGTCAATTGTGCTCCTGTTGATTGCGCTCCTGTCGATTGCACTCCTGTCGATAGAGCTCCTGCCAATCGCTCTTCTCTTGATTGCGCTCCTGTCGATTACTCTGCTGCAGCAGAGTGAGTGCTCCTGTTGAATGCTCTGCTCTCGATTGAGCTCCTCTCGATTGCGCTGCTGCAGCAGAGTGAGCGCTCCTCTTGATTGCATTCCTCTCTGCTGCTCTGCTCTCGATTGCGCTCCTCTCGGTTGCTCTCCTCTCGATTGCACTCCTCTCTCTTGCGCTACTGTCGATTGCGCTCCTCTCTCCTGCTCTGCTCTCGAGTGAGCTCCTGTCGATTGCTCTCCTGTCTATTGAGCTCCTGTCCATTGAGCTCCTGTCCATTGAGCTCCTTTCGATTGTGCTCCTGTCGAATGCACTCTTGTCGATTGCGCTCCTCTCTGCTGCTCGTCTCTAGATTGCGCTCCTCTCGGTTGCTCTCCTCTCGATTGCACTCCTCTCAATTGCGCTCCTCTCTCTCGCTCTGCTCTCTCTTGCACTACTGTCGATTGCGCTCCTCTCTCCTGCTCTGCTCTCGAGTGAGCTCCTGTCGATTGCTCTCCTGTCTATTGAGCTCCTGTCCATTGAGCTCCTTTCGATTGTGCTCCTGTTGAATGCACTCTTGTCGATTGCGCTCCTCTCTGCTGCTCGTCTCTAGATTGCTCTCCTGTCGATTACGCTCCTCTCTCTCGCTCTGCTCTCTCTTGCGCTACTTTCGATTGTGCTCCTCTCTCCTGCTCTGCTCGTGATTGCGCTCCTCTCGATTGCGCTCCTCTCAATTGCGCTGCTCTCAATTGTGCTGCTCCGACAGAGTGTGTGCTGTCCAGCAGTTCGCTGATGAGATTGCGCTTCTCAGATTGCGTTGCTCCAGCTGTGCGTTGCTCTTGAGCTGTGTGTTGCTCTTGAGCTGTGCGTTGCTCTCGAACAGTGCGTTGCTCTCGAGCTGTGCGCTGCTCAGATTGCGTTGCTCCAGCAGAGTGTGCGTTGCTCCAGCTGTGCGTTGCTCTTGAGCTGTGTGTTGCTCTTGAGCTGTGCGTTGCTCTCGAACAGTGCGTTGCTCTCGAGCTGTGCGCTGCTCAGATTGCGTTGCTCCAGCAGAGTGTGCGTTGCTCCAGCAGAGTGTGCGTTGCTCCAGCTGTGCGTTGCTCAATTTGCGCTGCTCCAGCAAAAATAAATTTGTTTGCGTTGCGGCACTTGAGCAGTGTATATTTCGAGTGCGTTGGGGGTCAACGCAGTCGCGTGAATTTCGAATTTGGCAGAGCGCAATTGTGCGTTGCCCGCAAGCAAGACACACCGGCTAGGGCTAGGGTATCCCTACATATCTCAGGGGATTTCATGTTTCCAAGGGTCTCACCGGGAACACCCTTGTAAGTACTGGGGTTTACCAAGGCTTACCAAAGTTTGCCTAGCTTCATCAAAGTTTACCTAGCTTCACCAACATTTGCCTGGCTTCATCAACATTTACCTAGGTTCATTCATGTTAACCTAGGTTCATCAAAGTTTACCTCAGTTCATTGAAGTTTACCCAGCTTCATCAAAGTTTACCTAGGTTCACCAAAGTTCAAACCTAGTGACCAAACTTTGATGGCCCATATCTCAGCCACCACAGAACAGGGTACCGTGAGACTTTGCATACACATAGTCCTAGGGTATCCCTACATATCCCATTAGTACAGATTTCATGTTTCCAAGGGTCTCGCCAGGAACACCCTTGTAACCCTAACCCTAACCCTGAGGGCAAGACACATCTGCCCCAAGGCCTGAATTTTGAAGTGGACCATCTTGAATTTTGAAGTGGACTGTCTTGAATTTTGTATTGGACCATCTTGAATTTTGAAATGGACTGTCTTGAATTTTGAAATGGACCATCTTGAATTTTGAAGTGGACCGTCTTCCAGGAGGGCAAGATGCATCTGCCCCAAGGCCTGAATTTTGAAGTGGACCATCTTGAATTTTGTATTGGACTGTCTTGAATTTTGTATTGGACTTTCTTGAATTTTGAAATGGACTGTCTTCTAAATTAAATTGGACCATCTTCGAGGAGCGCAAGACACGTCTGCCCCACGGCCGGACGCCCTTAGAACCCTAACCCTAACCCTCACCCTCACCCTCACCCTCACCCTCTAGATTGTGCTGCTCCAGCAGAGCGAGTGCTCCAGTCGATTGAGCTCCTGTCAATTGTGCTCTTGTTGAATGAGCTCCTGTCGATTGCTCTGCTCTCGATTGAGCTCCTCTCGATTGCGCTGCTCTTGATTGAGCTCCTGTCGAATGCACTCCTGTCAGTTGCGCTCCTCTCTGCTGCTCGTCTCTAGATTGCTCTCCTGTCGATTGCGCTCCTCTCAATTGCGCTGCTCTTGATTGAGCTCCTCTCTCTTGCTCTGCTGTCGATTGCACTCCTCTCGATCGCGCTGCTGCAGCAGAGTGAGTGCTCCTCTTGAATGAGCTCCTGTCGATTGTGCTGCTCTTGATTGCGCTCTAACTTTGTATTGGACTGTCTTGAATTTTGAAATGGACCATCTTCAAAACTGTAATGGATTGTCTTCAAAATTGTAATGGACTGTCTTCAAAATTGTAATGGACCGTCTTCGAAATTGTAATGGACCATCTTGAATTTTAAAATGGACTGTCTTGAATTTTGTATTGAACCATCTTGAATTTTGAAATGGACCATCTTCAAAATTAAATTGGACTGTCTTCGAGGAGCGCAAGATGCATCTGCCCCACGGCCAGATGCCCTTAGAACCCTAAGATGATGCTGAGCACTGACTTGGGGATCTTTTCTGCTTGGCTGGCATTAGGTTGAAGGTTCATCATGGAGAAAGTGCACTCCAGGATTTGGTCTTCATTCCAGTTGGTGTGAACTTCCCTGATCATCTGGATGGTGTGCTTGAGCAGAGCTACACTATCTAGCCTGGGTGGCATGCTGACTGCAAAGTGCTGGAAGCTGCTGAGCTTCAGACTCATAATCAGTTGCAGTGTTAGAGATTTTTGCTGTGTGATGATGGTCTAAGTACAAGCTCAAGTCCAGAGGTCCCCAAGTCTTTCACCACTTGCACATGAGCAGGACTGCTGCAAAAAGTTTCATTGGCCAGAATTCCTACATTGTTGCATCTCCCTCAACTGCTTACATAAGGTTTTTGTGTGAAATAAAAACTTGTCAAAATCGAAAAAGACGTGTTTGTAAAAAACACTCGAAAACTGATAACGGGTAATGTTAGATCTAAGATAATTATGAGACACCAACCTCACTCACTCGGTTATCTATCACATTACCCGGGTATCTATCACACTACCCGGGTATCTATCACATTACCCGGGTCGAGCTCGGCATAACTGGCTACTTAGCGTTCAATACAGTGGTCCTTCTATGCTCTAGCCTCATCATCCTCAGATATACAAACATGCGAATAGTCATGTACTTAGTAATGCTCCTTATCGCAATCGATACTTGTGATCATCGACATTTGACGCACGTCCTTCAACAGAAAAAAAGAAGCAGCTGATCGGAGTGTCGAGCGAAAGATTCTAGGTGGACATGCTTCACTTTCTCGTTGTCCGCTCTTCCAGCATGTCTGCTTGCAATCAAGCCTATCCATAACGACGCCAGATTACCTCTTCGCAGGCTCGCAGCACCAAACCACGCAGGAAGATGAGGTGGTGGAAGTGGCGTACAAGCAAGCGACCGACGCTGCTGTTACGATGCATTTTGCTGATCGCAGCTGAGTTAGCTGTCAATGCTCTCCTTTGGCTAGTCGCAGCGATCGTATTCCGCCATCGAACACGCTTCTTGACGCTGTCGCTGCTGGCTTGGACACTCGGTCTGCGACATGCTCTGGACGCCGATCACATCTCAGTAATCGACAATGCGACTAGACGTATTGTTTCGCTAAACCACGATAGCAAGACATGCGACAAACGTCAAGCAAGACCCAGAAGGCCAGTCACCTGCGGCTTGTGGTTCTCATTGGGACACTCGACAATTGTCGTTGCTGTCATCTGCGCCATTGCGATCAGCTTGGGAATCGTAGATCGCCTTGGCAAGGTCAGCTCTGTGGGCGGTCTTATCGGTGCTTCGGTGTCCGGTTCCACGCTCTTCCTGTTCGCGATTGTCAATTCGATCCTGCTGTATCAAAGCGTCAAGGCAACTCGCAAGTACAACGCTCAAACCAAGGCAGAAGTATCGCAGCGATCCCCCAACAATCACAGCGATGCTGTCAAACTAGACAAGATCAAAACAAGCCATGTATCATCAGACAAGGAGGCGAACAGTGACAGCGATCAAGTTAAGGACCACCGCTTTCGAGGCATCTTTACAAGACTGGCATATCCACTCTTCCGTCTCGTGGATCGACCGTACAAGCTCTACCCGATCGGTGTCTTATTTGGGCTTGGCTTCGACACTGCTTCTTCGATTGCACTGCTCGGTATCGCAGGCGCGACCAACACAGAAGTGAAGGACACTGGACTCGAGTCAGACCAGGCCATTTTGCCAGGCAACGCTACGACTCGGTCAGATGCCTCGATTGTACTCTTAGCGCTGCTCTTCACTGCAGGCATGACGCTGGTGGATAGTCTCGATTCTGTACTTATGGTCAACGCTTACGCTCCGGGTGAGCTGCTCGCACCAGCAGAGCAGAGCACCGAAGAAGGAAGAAATCGAATGCCGCTTCCTTGGCTTCGACAAATGCGATTCCTGGAAGATAGCCACTCTGGATCAAAAGTTTTGCAGACGCTTCCTCACAGCAATGCAGACGTCCTCAAGGCTGCTCTGGGCGAGGAAAAATGGAAAGCAGATGTCGTCTCACCAGCAGCCGAAGCGCAAGAGCTGCGTTTGGTGAACAAGAGGGAGGACAACATGGAGGACGAGGATGATCGTGTAGAAGTAAGCCGCAGTACTTGCACATCGCTGTCGCATCTTTTGACCTTGCTGTCGATTGTGCTGGCGTTTGCGATCTCGATCATCACGTTGGTCGGGCTGATTGGGGAAAACTGCGATCGTTGCGCGAGAGCAGCCGCAAAGCAAGACGAGACATACGATGGTGGTCTTGAAGGCCGATGGTGGTTGTTTTGGCAAAAGGCAAACGATGCGTCCGGCATCATTGGAGCGTGCATTCTTGGTGGCTTCGCAGCTGTTTTGCTCATCTGGTACGTTGGCAAAGCGGCCCTAAAGCGATGCCGCCGTTTGTGATTAAGACATACCCCGCTACTTTGCTAAGAATTGATTGCGATGTATACACGTCCTCAATCAACCTTCTTTACTGGCCTATGTCGCACTGAGCTGTTCGCCAGCGTGTCACCAGTTGGACCCAGATCCGAGATTGTATTGGAAACAGGGTTGGCGTATGTGAAAGAGGCTTCTCATGACTATTACATCATGCCTGACAGCGATAGAGTCACTTCAGAGAAGGTTAAGCGCAGTTGTCGCCGATGTCGGTTACCGGAACAAGGGATGCGGTGATTGCGGGAAGCGAGGTGCGCATCGCTCGGCTGCAACACTCGAAGCCGGGTGTGACAGGCATTGCCGCTAGATGATTCATAAGGGAGGGAGAAAGTGTCAAGTCCATTGCTGTCTGCGGGTATCTAAAGGGGCATCCGAGACCTGCATCAGGAAGTCGCTGCTACAACTGTCCTCAGCAACGGAAGGTTTCCAACACAGTCTGACGCATCGTGGCGGGACACCGTTGTAGAGCACGATCAGAAGCACGAATGTTGGGATGCAGCAAAGCATGTTTTTTGCAGCGAGATCTGAACTCCGAATGCCAAGGATGATACCACGAGTCTGGACGACAGCATCGTCCGCGGAGAAAGGCTCTCTTCGTAATCTGGCGAGAGCGATTCGAAGCCATGTGGACATGTCATTGCGCAGAGACGAAAGATCTCCTTCTTCCCGTTCTTGTTGGGATCTGCAAGAAACTTTTTGCTGCAGTTCGGTCCGGAATCGATTGCCGGTAAGCAGTGGTGAGATGACAAGCTGTGCTGACACTTTGGCTCCCGACATCAAGTATGCTCAACGGAAGCCGGGAGTGGTGGGCGCCATTCGCAAACTTCTGACAACTCCTTGAGAAAACTTTGTGTCGCTTGCAGAGCAGAAGCGGAAAGAGAAGCGAACAAAGACTCCTGCGCCACTTGAGGCTCGAAGACGTCCATGTAGTCGAGATGCAGCTCAATGTTGCTGCCATCAAGGCTAGAGAACACTTGGAAATCGAGTCAGACTTGCGAGGTCTGCGTCTTGCGACTGATAACCTCAAATTCGAGGGAATCGGCCGCAATGGTCGGACCAGGAATCTCTGCAGATTGTCCCGACGGCAAGACGCAGGTGAAGACGATTGGCATCAGAGATCCTGGATGATAGTGCTGTAGATCCCGAATCACACTAATGCTGCTGTACTGCGAGTAAGAAATGTCGGAAAGCAGCTGCTTCTGCACGCGGCGGCAGCGCTTGGAGAAGAACTTGTCATCGAAGGCCGCCTCGTCTGGGGTCGGAAACAAGATTCCCCCGGTGAAATCGCCAATGACCTTGTCAATGTCGTCTTCGACATATTCTCGGTTGAAAAGGGTAGTATTCACGGTGAAATGTGGTTCTTCGCTCCAGAGACGCAAAGCATCGATGAAGTTCGTCATGAGAACAGCTGATGGAAGAAGGCTGTGCTGCTTGCATTGCGACACAAAGCTTGACCAGAATGTTTCGGAGAAGGTGTGTGCCAGGTGGTGCACGGAAGCGCTGTCGATCGCATGGTTGCCCGCAGATCGCATTGGCAGCGCAGGAGCCAGCGGCAGGGTGGGAAGTTTTTCTTGCCAGTATGCTTGTGCATCCGCATATGCATCCCTGTCGAAAGAGCCATTCTGATGCCACACAACGTAGTCTCGGAAGGTGGTGGATGCTGAAGGAGGAGTATCGACTTGCACCGGGAGTCCGACGGGGTGATCAGCCTCGGTCGGGGTGATCGGCGCACCCGACGAGGCGGTCGACATGTCTCTCTTCCAAATTGTAAGCTTTCGTCGTCGCCTTTCGTCGAGGTGGCAAACTCTCTCAAGAGAAAATGGTCTCCTCATTCGAAGGGCTCTCGTGCTTTGCCTCTCATGCTTCGACCGTTTCCTCCCATCTTTGTGTTGGTATCAAGATGTATATATAGTCCTCGAGTCAGTTAGTTTACCCCGATCATTGAATCCATCCATTTGTACTTACTCACCAACGTCGAGAACGCAATACAACCGTGTCCTGCCACAAAGAGTCCACTATCACTTCAACACAATCAACATCCCAAGAGAGGAGGAGATGAGGTGTGGGTGTGAAGGGCAGACGGTTGTTACGGATGTCGATGCGAGCAGCACTCAAACCTGACTCTTCGTACTACGGTAGCGCGCACACCGCAGCCACATCAACTCGGGCCATCGCTCTGGAGCAAGGCGTCATGATTGCCACTTGGTCCAAACACACTGCCGGACCGTAATACCGTATGTGGGTAAAAGATCGCTGCAGACGACGACTCCGATGACGTGGCTACAGCAGGCCAGGACACCATTTCGTTGCGATAACCTGGCGATGAGTGGGTTGAGAGGATTTCATTGCAACCGTTGTGGCCCATGACTTTACGCTCCAAGAGCCCCACCATTGTTACTTGTGGCGATGCTGTCCAACAGTTGCTCACTTCGACTGTTGTGCAGGGGAATGGCTTCAATCTCTTGCAGAATTTTCAGCTCATTGATCGGAGTATCCTGACACATGCAAGGGAGAGTTGATGATGATGATGATGATGATGATGATGATGATGATGATAAGACGGAATGGATTACAGGAATCGGACCGACTGAAAATAACGCAAGCTCGACAAGGTCTTCGATGCGGCCCAGAGGAAGACCAATCAAGGGCAAGGATGAGCAGCTGAAGAAGGGAGAAAGATTACAGAAGTCTAGACGCTGTCGGAGCCTGATTAGCCCCTTAGCAACAAGATGACAGGAAATCAAGACGAAACCTCAGTTTTCCTCCTTCTTCTTCTGGGTCAAAATGTAACTTCCCTCGGGAACATCGAACTCGACAGGAAAGGCATTTCCATTGCTGGGTTTGGAATGCGCCATGACTTTCCTAACATCCTCCGATCCCTGGCTAAGGTCCAAATTCAAGCATTTTTTGTCATCCTTGACGTAGTACTTGTTGCACAGGCCCAATTGGCTACACCATTTTTCGGCCCGACTGGCTTTGTCGCACCTGCCGTGGGTCAAGATGGTTAAGTAGGAAGCTCCGAAGTATTCCATCACATTATCCCTCTCTTCACCTTGTTTGATCCTGCGGCAGCCAGGAGTATCGAGGTTGCAAATCTGGCCCAACTTGTTGCACTCTGTGGACTCTTCTTCGCAAATACCCATTAAGTTGTTAAAGAGAGGATCAAACTTGTCAGTAGCCCACTTGTAGACGGCATCACGTAGTGTCCACAGTCGTCCATCGTCGATATCGGCGATGGCCTTGTCGAGGTTGGCATCGCCAATAGCGCCCGTTTCCTTGTAAGGGTTTTCGTAGACCCATTCGCCAATTGGATCTATGTCAAAGAGGCCAGAAGAACGATCGAAATGGAAAACGTTAGCCTCTTCACATTCAAAGCGGGTTGGAAAGGTAGGAAACAGTCAAGGAGCGGGCTTGATATGAACTTACGCCCTTCCAAAGCCGAAGCAGCAGTAGCAAGGCCCAAGCCGAGAATAACAAAGGGAAGAGTAAGCTTGACCATTTCGACTGAGTGAGACTGAGACCGTCTGAAGAAGGCTGAAGAAGTCTGAAGTGAAATGAAATGTCTGAATGAGATAATGGGCAGCGAGCCGAGGAGGAGTTGGTTTATATCTCTTTTTCCAGGCCTACTTGACAACAGCTTGCTCGAGAAGCACTCGGCCACTCGGCATCCAAAATCGCCTTCTGGTCAATGCTGGCACGCAAGCTCGGAGCATTTCCTTGTATTGGCGGGACGTGGGGACTCAACTTACTTGGCTCATGGCGTTGTCACTGATAAAGAGTCAGTGTTTCAACCCTGAGTGTGGGTCACAATGCATGTAATCATGTGGCACCAAGTGGGCAGAATGGAGGAAGGAGACGCATGTTGATGCAAAAGTTGCACACGTGGTGGTGATCATTTTCGTGCCTATGCCAATTGGTGCCACTCGTCACATGTTACAACTGACGCACAAACTGTCCCGCAAACTCGCGGTGTCCCACTAACCACGCCATTGCTCAATGACCACTGACACAAACCTATACTTAACATATAGCATTGGAAAGCTCTGATTGCGCTCTACAAGGCTGTGTGACCAGTCAGTGTATTGTATGCAAAAGAAATGTGCATAACAAAAAAGTCAAGAATAATTTTATCACGGGACAGTATATGGAGCACACAAGGTCACAAATGAAGTAGTAGCGCTGTTTGGCAGGGGCATCGAAACTGTCGCTCGTCACTCCTCACCAGCAAATGGACAGGAAGCACTCTACAAAGGACCGACTGTATTGACCTGAGAAAATGTGGATCGTACGGGTCCCGATGACTGGCGATCGGTGAGAGTTGGAGCACGATGTCACTGCTGTTTTTGCTGGAGATAACGATCCAACAGAACACGATCTGGTGACTGATCGGGGAGGGCTAATCGGATCGGAGATCGGGCGGGCCCACACGATGAAGATTGAGGGCAACAGCGACACATCCGTTGTCACAGACGGTCATTAGGTGGGATATTCTCACAGACAGCCACAAGCCAGAATGTATATAGATAGTAAGCAGAGAGCTCGAGCTACCACTGTGTCCTTTCCTTATGTCAATATAGTATAGTGTTTAGCTCAATAAGCTTGAACGCTGTACTGTGACTGATACCTCCCGATAAGTGTTGATCGGAGTTCTATATTCCAGCAGTTTTAGGACAGAAACGTGTATACTCAATTGACTAAGAAAAGGATGTGGCGGGAGCCTCGAGCTCCCCGCTTGATATATATACAAAGTGAGTGGCACTCGCCGAACGTGGGTTCATCCTACTTAATGACGAGGTCTGACAACGAGCGGGACTAGGTTGTACCCGATCCTCGATCTCCGATCAGATCGTCCTTCGCTCGATCCCTTTTGTATCTGCTTACGTCAACCAACATCATCATATAGGATCGTCATTTTCTATGACCAACTGTGTATGATAAGGATCGATTGCAATGAATGAAAAAAAAAAGGAAAATGAAAAACTCAACCTTACCCCTAAGCACCAAGTACAGCCCTGGCAACATGCCTCAAATGCTTACTCGGTACTGCTTGTGGGGTATAGACCTTATTCAACAGCAATCCTGTTAGCAACTCGTCGATCTTAGACGACCTTGATCTTGTCATCTTCGTACAGAGCCGTGGCTTGCTTCCGACGAATCTTGCCGGAAGTGGTGCGTGGGATCTGACCAGGTTCAGCGAGGACGATGTGATCGAGCATGATGCCCATCGATGAGAGCATCAAGGCCGGAATTTGTTGGAGTACGCTTGCAAAAGTTTTGTTCCTTTCTGACCGTGATAGGATCGTTTTGCGGACTTCTGCACAAAGGGCGACGCTGGGATCGGAAGTCTAATTGTTTACATCGCCAGATTCGATATCCTTGTGATGGCTGGCTTCGAAGACTGCGACTGAGCCTGCCTTGAAGACATCGGGCCACGTGGTCCAGACGAGTTCTTCGATGCCTTGGGGGTAAACGTTGCGGCCGTGGATAAAGAAAATGTCCTTGAGTCTTCCTGTGACCAATAGTTGAGGCTGGCCACCGGACACGATGCCATCCTTGCCAGGGGCACGCCAGACTTTTCCCAGATCGCCTGTGCGGAGAAAGCGAAGACGGGGATAGCCATTGAGGTGGTTGTGAAAGGTCTCCCGAGAAGCCTCATCCAGATTGTAATAAGCAAAAGACACTGAAGGTGATGCGACCCAGTTCTCACCCTCCTGACCTGCATCCGTGACATCTGCCCCAGTCTTTGGATCCACGATGCGCATTGTCACGCCGACGCAAGGAGGACCGCATAGAACGGCGTCGTCGAGTCCAACGAGGTCTTCGATCGACTTTGCTTGGTGTGGATAAAAGGAAAGGCCGAGAGTGGCTTCGGCCAACCCGTAGGCAGGCTTTCAGGCGGAGAGCGAGAAGCCACTTGGACCGAAACAGCTGTGAAAGCGCTGCAATGAAGTCTTTCGAATCGGCTCTGCGCCAAGAACAACGCATTGGAGGGCAGAGAGATCGAGAGGAGCGCCATTGTACTTCCTAGCAGCAAGGTCTAGAGCGAAGTTGGGCGCAGCAGTGTGGGTGGCTCTAAAAGTTGACATGGCTCTAGTCCAGGAATTGAGGTTTTTGACAAAGTCAAGGGGGCTTTGAAGGTAGACAGTGCCGCCTGCATAGAAGCTGGTGAGAACGCAGCCAATGAGGCAGAAATCGTGAAAGTGGGGAAGCCAGGTGCAGCCAACGGTGTCGGGAGTGTACGAAACTGTCTGACAGATGGTTTGAAGGTTGGCAACCAAATTGCGGTGCGTCACTTCGACACCTTTGGGATCACCAGTTGATCCTGAGGTGTACTGAAGGAAAGCGAGATGATCAAGGTCGACCTGCGGTGTATGCACTGAGTCGGAGGCAGGCTGACAGCGAATCGTGTTGATGCTGACCCAGGTCAGGTCAATCCAGCGCTGAGACGACTGGGTGCGCCAGAAGGTTGCTTTGATGTTGCGCCAGCCCGACGCAAGGTTGAGCGCGGCGGAGTAGGATCCAAGAGTCAGAGCGATGCGTGCGTTAGAAATGTGAGCGAGTTTGTTAAAGTGAGCCAGATCTTTGTCCAGCTGGGCTGGGTTGAGAGGCGGAACGAGGACAGGAACACCACCAGCTCGCTGAACGCCAAGGAAGGCGACTATAAAGTCGAGACCGAAAGGAAAGACGAGCAGCACAGTCTCCTGAGATGCAAGATGGTGGTCTTGGATGAGATGGGTAGCGATCCGTTCCGAGCGCTCCTAAATGGTACGGAAGGTGAGACTGTTATTGACTAAGCCGTTTGCCCCAACCCAGTCCAAGCAGTTCTAGTCTGGAATCTCCTTGGAGTGCCGCTCGAGAATGTCGAGCACGGTGTGATCGTAATTGAAAGGGTCCATGATAGTAGCGGTGATATGAGCATCAGAGTGGCTGGTGGAAGACATGGTATCAGAGTTTACTTGTGTTGAATGATATGTCGCCTTGCGTAGCTGTGGTTTGGACAAGCTGGTTTTAGGTTTGTAGACAACAGGGGAAGATGGTGTATTGCATAACTATCTACAGGGAACAGGTGCGACTATATATGCATGGTAGGACCAAGTGAGACACACTGGTCGAGGGTGCATCAACGAGGAGGCCCGTCCCCTCGACCCCTATATTGGCGATATCAGCATGACGCCGCCGATACGATGGTCAAGTCGACCTCCAACACAAAACACTGTTGAAGTTTGGGTCCCGATACTGGCGATCGGGGAGAGTCTAAGTACGATGTCACTGCTAGTTATAGACAGAAACAAATATACTCAATTGACTAAGAAGAGAACATGGCGAGAGCCTCGAGCTCTCTGCCTGACATATATACAAAGTGCTGGTTCATCCCATATGTGTGAGTATCACCCTCAATGACAGAGTACAACAACGAGCAGGACCCAATAGCATCCAATCTTTCTCTCCGATCGGCTCTGTGTGATTCTCGATTCGATCAGATCTATCCTATCCCCGATTAGCTTGGATCTGTCCGATCCCCGATTAGGCCTGCTGGATCGTCATTCTCAGCAAACACAGCAGTATATAGAGGTTGCTTCTTCTTCGTTTGGATCTCCTCCATCCACACGTTCCACCCACCCTTCACACGATCCGAAACTATGGCCGCCTCGTCGTCGAAAAGCTCGCTGAGCGTCTCTTCGCTAGCCTCCATCGGTGCCGTTGCCGCCATGCTCTCTCCATGGGGCTTGTCGACCCTCAAAGCGTTGCTGCTGGAGCCCATTCGAGTGAACCCTCCGGTCTGGCTTCGTGTCCTATTTGGTCTTCTGGTAGTCGCCAACATTCGATCTACGCCGCTCCTTTGGCACATTCGCGTGTGGTACCCGGCTATCAAAGCCATCGTTTGTGCTCGTGCTTGGTTCTTGACCCCCAAATCGCAGGCTCTTTCTCACAAGGCAATTCAACCGCAGCTCAGGCTGGAAACGCTCCCGATCGGCAAGGACATCTTCGAAGACCTGTCCTCGCACAGCTTCCTCGCCACGCTCGATGAGTGCGACTGGAACGGCCATCTTTCCAACTCTTCCTATTCTCGCTCGCTCGACTGCGCCCGGATGACGCACAACATCCCTCGATTCATCAAGATGTTCTCTGATGGTGGCTGGGTCGCTCTCGGTGGGTCTGGATTCAACTTCCACCGAGAGATCCCTATGCTGGCTCGTTACACGATTCGCATGAGCGTTGAGGCGTGGGATGACAAGTGGCTTTATCTTGTCGGTCGATTCGTCTCTCCTGCCAAAGCATCTAGCAAAAAGCCTGCTGCCGCTGCTTGCTCTGCATCCACAGACGCAATCACTGAAAGGCTTCTGCCCGGCGAGATGCTCTATTGCACCTCCACTTCTCGCTACGTCTGCAAAGCTGGTCGCCGCACCATCCCTCCATGGCTCATGATCGCCGCCTCTGGCTACGGGACTACATCTTGCAACTGGGAGAAAGCCGAGAAGCTGCGTGTCTACTACCTCGAAAAGGAGCGAAAGGCGTACCTTGAAAAGACAGGCAAGAAGAGCATTTCAGCCAAAGCCGACGCCAAGCTCAGAAAGAAGGCTGCTTTGCTCCGCCAATACCGCTTGCAAGCCGAAAGGCAGGGCACCGAAGAGGAGGCCTGGATGGACAAGAGCTACTGGGATTTGGAAGAGTGGGAGACAAGGCGCAAGCAAGGTTTGCAACGTCTTCTTACTAGCGTCGGTGTCTTGCCCCCTCTTGAGAAGTAGGCGCTTCTTTGCTCGGCATCAACTATGCACAACAAAGCCCGAGCGGAACGGATAATACTGTACAGTACATACATCTAGACACTAGACACACTCTCATCAAACATAAATCGCACACTCTGCACATCCAAGTCTCTGTCTCTGGTTTCACGTTGGGAATACTGTTTAAGTTACCGCGCTTCTGAGTACATTGCGCTGTATCTAAGCCCAAGCAGCGTTGATCTCATCGTACTGTGCCTGAGTAAGAGGCTTGATGCTACCGTGCTTGAGCTGAGTTGGCATGCCCGAAGGGAATCCAAGATCAGTGAAGCTGTACTGATCAATACCGTTGTCAGCACTGTAAGGGTAATAGCCAGCAGGGTTTCGGCCGTACTGGTCGAGGAAGACGAGCGACCTGTCGCTTGTGTTCTCCTGGATGTAGATCGGTGCTTCAGCCTGGTTGTTGTTGTCGACGAACGAAGTGCTGGAATCGATGTCAAGCCACGGTCCCTGAATACCAGAGTTGCTGACCTGTCCTCGAACCTTGTACACACTCTCGTCTTTGAAGAAGCGCACGTACTGGTCACCCCCGTTGGTAGGGCCACGACCGATTGTCAGGTCAATGACACCAATGTTGTTACCGAGGTCCATGAATACTTCCGGAGCGGTAAAGGTGACAAAGTCGGTAGTGTACGAGCTGTAGATCTTGTCGTAGTCAGGATCACCAGAGTGCGAAGCATCCGCGAACTTGTTCGAAGACCAGTAGACAAGGAATCGCTGCTCGTCCTCGAGCCAGATAGCCTCGGGTGCCCAAGCCATGCGGAAGTTGTCAGGAACGACTTGGACGAGACGAGGTGCCTTCCAGTTGGTCAAGCTTACACCTTCCGAGTGCCAGATGACAAGGCTGCAACTGAGAAACTTGCCACCAAAGCCACCAACGGCGGTCTGGTTGAGGTCTGTGGCGATGATGTAGTGCTGCGACTCGTCAGCTTTGCTAACAATGTACATGTCACGCACTCCCTTGGTACCGACATGAGAGGTGAGGAGAGGGGCACCGCCCTTGAGAGGCTTGTAGGAGAGTGCATCGTTGCCGTTGGAGATGTGGCCAAAGATTTGCTCGCCTGCGGGGTAAGTCGAGTAGTCACCTGGTGCTCGGTAGTTGTCATAGAAGTGAATGAAGAGGTAACCAACTTTGTCGGAAGCACGCTTGAGGAGCGACGACGACGACAGCGAGATGGGCTGCAAGAGAGCCAAGGAGACAAGGCTCAACTGCAACAGGAGCAGGAGCTTGGCGGTGAGACCGAACATGATGGTCGATGAACGCAGTGGGATGGAGAGGATTGATGTTCGGACAAACGGAAGCCTAGGGTGATGGAGACTCTCCCTATATGCTTTGCCGCTGCCCCTGTTGGCGAGATATGATTCTTTGTTTGTGATCACGCAGCCACCACGCCACGCTTGAGAGTGAAGCGCTGCGTTCCTAGAAGTCAGAGGGAGATGTACAAGGGCCCACGGACCCGTCGTAAGCTTCGGAGATCTTCATGGAATGCGAAAGTATCAGCGATCCTGCATTATTTGTGGGGAAGCACAGCCCTTCACACGCAGGCATCAAGGTGTGAAGCTGCGCCTTGGATGTACGTCGGCAATCTGAGCCATCTTTGACACCCTTTCCTGCGGTGCGGAGTCGAATCAAAACTCCGGGAGAACATTGTCCGGTCATCATCAATCATTCCGTTCGCAGGTACAAGTGCTGGGTGAGGTGACAGCAGACTTCGGAAATCTATGCACTCCCTTCATGATGGTGCGGGGTACAGATTCGATTGCCGGGTCCATTGCGGTTGCAGTTCGGATGTTCGCCTGAAGAAGGTTAGCGAGCTCGGCAGAGGATCTCTGTTGCAAATGGCTTTCCGTCAGTTACTGCATGTACGAGCAAGGGTGAGAAACTAGGAGCGCGTCGACATCATCGCGGCGACTCGTGCCGACTCGTGCCACATCTGATGGACCGCATGGTTATACGTTTTTGTAGAGGCTTAAGATCCCGATGCTCGAGCCCGATCTTCGATTGCGATCCGTTGTTGCGGCGTTTGAATTGCAATTTCTCCGTCTTTTCCTTTGGTTTTTCCGTTGGTTCATCCGACAAGCGTCTTTTTTTGTTTTTGTTTTTTTTTTGTTTTTCTTGTTTTGTTTTCCTTGTTCGACTTGCCGTCTCCTTACCGACATACCATCATCAGCCGCTGTTTCTTTGCTAGACCAGAAGGGATTTAGCCACACGATGGTCAGTGAAGGCTGCGTTGCTTCCCGTTCCCCGCAATGTGCGTATAGCCGCCGCACGCCATGACCTTGTGACAGCTTCTCAATTGTGACAAGCGGTCAAAGCCGGGTTTGTTTGCATAAAAGCTTCCCCATCACCATCAAAAGCCATGCCTCCTCTTTTCGTGTTATCGCCGCCAAGATGGTGCAGATCAAGTATCAACGAGGCTTTGGCAACCACTTCATTTCGGAAGCCAAGCCGGATAGCTTGCCCAAATTTGGTCACTCTCCTCAAAAGGTCAACCACGGTCTCTACGCGGAACAGCTCAGCGGAACCGCCTTCACTGCTGCTCGTGCAAAAAATCAGCGATCATGGCTGTACCGCATTCGACCATCTGTCAACCACGAACCTTTTCAACGGTACAAGCAGGAACGTGTCCTCGCATCCTTCCACGCTCATTCGCCAGATATTCACCCGACACCGCAGCAGTTGCGATGGGATCCGCTCGTCGAGCATGGGCCCAAAGACGTCGACTTTGTCGATGGCTTGGTCACCTTGGCAGGTGCCGGTGATACCCACCTCAAGAACGGTATTGCCATCCACACTTACACTGCCACAAAGGGGATGCGCCGCCGCAGCTTCTACAACTCGGACGGCGACCTCCTCATCGTACCCCAGCGAGTACCTTTGCTGATCAAGACCGAGTTTGGTCTGCTCCACGTGCCGCCTCTTCACATCGCCGTCATCCAGCGAGGCATCAAGTTCTCGGTCGACTTTGACGCTGCTGACTCGGTCTCCATCTCAAACCCAGCCTTCGGTTACATCTGCGAGACGTTCAAGGGTCATTTCGAGTTGCCTGATCTCGGAGCCATTGGCGCAAACGGTCTTGCAAACCCAGAAGATTTTGAAACACCCACGGCTCTCTACCAAGACACGACCGACAACTGGACTGTCATCAACAAGTTTATGGGTCGTTTCTTCTCCTACAATCAAACTCATTCACCTTACGACGTCGTGGCCTTCTCCGGAAACTACGTTCCTTACCGCTACGATCTGACCAAATTCAACACCATCGGTTCTATCTCGTACGACCATCCTGATCCCTCCATCTTCACCGTTCTCACATGTCCCACCGACACGCACGGAACGGCAGTCTGTGACTTTGTCATCTTCCCTCCTCGATGGCTGGTAGCAGACGACACCTTCCGCCCACCTTACTTCCACCGAAACTGCATGTCTGAATTTATGGGCAACATTGTTGGCGTATATGATGCAAAAGCATCCGGATTTGTACCAGGCGGCGCTAGCTTGCACAACATGAACTCTGCTCACGGTCCAGATGCAGAGACTTTCGATAAGGCCTCGAACGCTCCTTTGAAGCCAGCCAAAGTGGGTGAGGGAAGTATGAGTTTCATGTTCGAGTCGGCTTATCAGCTCGCAACGACCAAGTACGCTATTGAGTAAGTTCAAGCTGCTCAACCAGTCATCTACAGGTAGTTTGCGCAGTATACTGACCTAAGCAACTGCCTTCTCCTTTCCTTGTGTTGCGCAGAGAGAGCGGCAAAGTACAGCAAGACTATTGCAAGGCATGGGCCGATCTCAAGAAGAACTTCAAAGAGTAACGACAGTGCAGCACGTTCAACCGGATAATGCAATGATCAAACGACCATAGCTTTGCCTGCGAGTCGGAAAAGGGCTTGATTCAAAGACGCAGAAGGATGACCGCATGTGCCAAACAAAACAAGAGAACGAGCGCAGATCATGAGCCAAGACGACCTAGGCAGAAGACTTGACTTCGCTGTGGTGGTATTTGAGATCGACAAAGTTACGACCGACGTCCATAGCAACGTCGGCGGCCTTGCCCATAGCGCCCATGGCCTTCTGAGCCATACCACCGCCTTGAGGAGCAGAGGGGTGAGGACGAGTAGGAGCCATCTTGCGAGCTTGGAGGAAGTCGTCAACAGCCTTGGCGTGGTCCTTTTCACTGAGCTCCTTGACGAGCCGAGGGAGCTGGTCGGTCTCCTCTTCCTCGGCGTGGTGGAGGAAGAGCTGGCATGCATCGACGACGCGCTTGGCGTAGGCCTCCAGACCGACGTCAGAGATGCCGTGGGCGTTGAGATCATTCATGGCTTGCTTGACTTGCTGATGGTCGTTGCGGTCCTTTTCGGCGATGTCCTTCATGCCCTGCTGGTCCATCATCTTGTAGATGGAGAGTTCCTCGGCATCAGAGTGAACGGCAGCCTCGTGAATGATTGTGTTGGCAACTGCAAGACGAGGTTAAAAGACGATGTCAGATAGGTCGGTAGCTTGCCCGCATAGCTGAGAGCGGGGGAACGATGGCAACTCACTGTCAGTGCAGAGCTTCTCGTCGCCCTTCTTTTGGGCATCCTGGAAGCGCTTGCACAAGTCTCGGATGTTGTCGTGGTCGACCTATCGTCGCAAAAACCGAGTTAACCATAGAATATTAAGGTCAGTACTTTGAGCACTTGGGACAGTATTGATGGCTGAGCGACGCATAGCAACTCACCTTGATCTCTTCAAGAAGGCGTGGGCTCGACATGATGGTAGTAGCAAAGTATCGTGGCGACGATGTTCGGATAGCAGAAGCGGCTGGATAGTAAGCTAGACTTCGAAGAGCGAGACTAGAGTTGCGAGCGGCAAAGAGTCGGAGGGAAGCCATTGCTGGTGATAGAAAGAAAGACAAAAGCTCTTGCTGTCAACGCCGTGATGGAGCTCTCTTATATGTCTTTGATGCTTCGATTGACTGTCTGAACCGTTTGGTTCAGAGCAGTATTGGTAGTGTTGGTCTGGCTACCGTCCCAGTTGCTGGAAACGCCGCTGCCTTGTGGTTGGCAAGATTGGAGAGCGACAAGGCTCTGATGACCAATCGGCACATCACAACGCATCCTCCTTCGAGCCAATGAGAGTTGTCGTCTTTGCAATGCGATGGCGATGACTAGACATGATGACTCTACTGAAAACAAGGTCAGAAGACTGCTCGTCTGTCCTTAATCAGTGACCAATATGATCTTGTGAGCAAGGCAAACGCTGTGAGGGAGGTCTGCCCATTCGCAACCAAATCTGCCTTGCCTTGCCTCTGACTGTTGCCACGCACAATACCTTCAGAATCGCAGCTAGCGAGCGCATGACGATTGGACGAGAAAGTGACAGCTCGCTCGGTGAATCATCGGCATAGCTAGCTCTTCTCGACTGGCTGATGTGGCGTCCAACAGTCAGCGAACGAGCTCCGCCTGACTCATCCGCGCGCACGAACCGAGCTCGGCTAGAGGAAGGGGCAGCCAAGGCATTCGACCCTAATATTGGAAGACACTCAAGAATAGCTCTACAGCCTCGGCGTCACTTGTCAAGGTGTGCGTGTGATGCTGTTGGACTTCCTCGCTTCGTTTCACCTTCAGGGCCCAGCAGCATAGAACAAGAGCAGAAAGGAACGACAAGCTCACAAAAAAAGAAAACTCGTCGACAAAACCAACCAGGGCCGCTTTGGCAGGCAAGTGATCGAGGGTATCGATGGCTCAAGAAAAAACACATGCTTCGGCTCCATATGCTGACATCACTTTCGCCTGACTGCTCCGTACAACGAACGCCAGCTTGGTAGAATGCCGGCACTGAAATCACAGTCCAGCTGACAGGCACCCACGACAACGACAGCTGCTTTAATCATGCCACGACGCAAGCCGATCGATTACGAGCGAGTTCGAGGCTCCAAAGCCTGCACATTCTGCTCACGGCGCAAGATGAAATGCGATGGCAATGATCCTTGCTCAGCTTGCCAAGGTCGCTTGATCGAATGCGTCTATGTTCAAGGCAAGAAACGAGGTCCTCCTTCCAAGCTCGAACAGAGGCAAAAGTCGACCTCGACTTCAATCGTCCGCGGCGCCTCTTCAACAACACCCTCATCTTCTAGCAGCAGCAGCAGTGATAACGCTTCCAACGATGGTGCTGAGCAACACCCTCGACCCATGGTCAAACGAGCCCGAGTCGAGCTGGACACGTTGGCACATCAATCTCGAGCCAGCTCTCCTCGACAGCACCCATCAGGATTCGAAGGTTATGTTTGGTCAGCTTTGGCTCCATCCAACCAAGGCGCAGACAGCACTTGCACATCAATCTCGCCTCAAAAGCTACAATCGCTCTTGGCTTTGACGTCGCAAGCTCCTACGACATCGACGCTCCCAAATGTCCGGTGCTCGGGAATGTCAGATGGCAGCAGCCAGATTGAGCTGAAAAACACCGGCAACAGCAGCTGCGAAAGTGCAATCAGCGAGCTGAGCGATGAGGTGATCGAACAGCTTCTCACCGTCTATCAGTCTTTCGTCCATCTCCATTGGCCCATCATCTATCTTCCTTCGCTTAGCAGTTTACGTGTGCTTGCCGACACTCATCCGCTTCTCTATCATGCTGTCCTCGCCGTAGCTGCTGGCACCCAGGACACGCTCAATCTCAACGAATCTACCTCGCTCGCTTCGACATCAGCGCACGACTTTGCGTCCACCTCTTCACAAACCTCATCGCAGCACGCACGCTCACCTACCGTATGCCCTCCAGGGACTGCTGCCAGACTCGTCGGATACCTCAAGCAGCACATCAAGTCTCAAGGCCTCGCAAAGACCCTCGAGACCATACAGGTGCTCATCCTTCTTGCATTGGTCGAGATGGGCGGTGGCGATACTTCGGAAGCTCATGTTCACTCAAGCATAGCCTGCGTTCTTGCCATCGACCTCGGCCTTCATCGCTCGCAGTCTAGCGTAGTCTCCGCTCAGCTATACCGTGCTGAAGAGAAGCAGAGGGTTCTATGGGGATGCTATGCCCTAGACAAGGTGCTTGCCGCAGCACTCGAGCGTCCGACCATGCTCCGTAGCGATGACATCGATATTGACCTTCCATCCACACAAGAAAGAGACGAGTATGACGTCTTTGTCAACGATCGCTCTCTCCACTTTGTTGCTTCGCATCGCATCTCAACCATGACAGATGTCAAGTGCAGATGCATCTCGTCCTTTAATGCATACTGCAGTCTCATGATGCTTCTTGAACGCATCCTTGGTCGGGTCTACAGTCCCAAGGCAAGGCAAGAGCGCAAACGAGGTAACTTTGGCAACTACAAACAATCAGTCATCAAACTTGACGCTGCTCTTCGTCTCTGGCGCAAAGAACTGCCACACCATCTCCAGTGGAGATGCGACAATGACTCTGAGCTCCTTTCACCACCCACGCTTACTGCACAGACTCGAATCAGGAATGTCGCAAGACCTAGGCCATCACAAAGCACGCAGACGCTCCAGGACAATGTGCCGCCGCAAGTCCTGACAGTGCGAGCATGGTATTCAGCTTGTATGCTACTCCTCCATCGTCCACGGCTACCTCTTGATATCGGTTCAAGCGTATCAAGACGTCGTATTGATCTCGACAATGTTCCTGCGGACTCTGGTGGAGCCGGCAAGGAAGCAATGCTGTCCGACACTTGCGATGCATCAGAAGAAAGGCAGACTTCTGCGGCTTCGAATGTCGACACCATCGCGCATCAGGTCGGCAAAACGGTCCTTGCCGTGCCTGCCTCAAAGTTGGTCAAAGCAGCTGCAACCGAGATCTGCTACCTGCTTCCAAAGTACCAAGCAACCTTCAGTGTACGTCGCATTCCATCATCATGGGTCTATCTCATCTTCCAGAGCGCTATCATTCACTCTAGCTTCATCGAGGACTCCGATGCAAGTTCAGACAATTCCGAGGGGGAGGATCCCATTGGCGCTCGCAACACATCCGAAATCAGACGCAGGCATGGTGAAAGCGAGAGTGAGCGTCTCTTCCGTCAATGCATTCGAAATCTAGACCAGATGGCATTGACATGGCGCGGAGCAAGTCATCACGTAGCTACTTTGCGACGAGTAGCAGAGTCTTGCCGCATCACTCGTCCTTCCACACCTGTACTGGGTCCAGCAGCTCTCATCGACCTATCACCTACAGCCGGTCTGGCTCCATTGACACCTCACCTGCTCGGCACGCCTGCTGCTTCTGGTACTGGTGCAATAGCTGCTTGGGGATCGAACACACACTTTTCAGAGCCCATGAATAGCGTAGACACTGTTCCCAACCTCGATTGGTCCAGCTTTTGGAGTCGAATGCCTTCTTCCAGTGAAGACGTATGGCTATGGCAGCAATTCATCGACTCTTTTGGGAACAGCATCTCATGAAACGGCACACCTGTACTATTCTATTACCCACAGTCACCACAGATCGCACGCACACATACACACACACACATGTACTCTATATCGTGACACTCTCTCGGGGCGCGGAAGAAATGACAGCCATCCGGCGAGCTGCTCAATACTTCTGTCAGAACACTCACCTACTGACTAGTGCTGTTCACGACTGATGACCGAGAGCAGACGGCTAAACCCCTATTTCGTTTTGCCTTCCAAAACTCCGACGCTCGATAGGGATAAGGAAAGGTTCGACAGAGCTCAGGGTTCTTCCGTCATGCCTTTTTGCGTTCATCCCCGCCCTTGGCGACATGCTTGAGCCTTTCCCCGAAAGCGAACCAGAGCTTCACTATTCCAGATTTCACAGCATGCAAAGCCTATCAAGGCAGTTCATTGGCCTTTCTGCTTGTTTGCTACTGGATGTAACTTGGTCATCTGCAACGTGCACAGACGGGCGGCGCGCACCGGTCCGCGACTAAGTTACAGACGGCGGCTTCCATGCAACTCGAGTCGCTCGCAAGAAGGGAGTAAGAGGCAAAAGCAAGGAAACAGCCTCCCACTGACAAGCTCTACACAGGTTCAAAGTGCCGCTCGACGAGCAGCCGTTCCTTCTACGCTCATAAGTTCCGCCGCCCTCATTCATCCCTAGTAATGGTTGAGCCGGCCGCACTGAACGCAGAGATATATAGATATATATCCTCCTCTTCTGAACCACATTCCCTGCTCTTTCTGTTGTCGTCTAAGACTCTCGTCCCTTGTCGCGCTCATCTCCGAGCCATACTTCCATCGAATACACCTACAAGTCGATCGAACTAGACCAAACTGCATACAACTCTGTACTGTACTGCATGATGAGGCTCGAACTCTCTTCCGAGAACCTGGCATCCGTCCCACACTTTGTGTGGCTGGGATTGGCGCTGGTGGTAGCACAGCTCCTCCATTCAGCAACCAAGCGACCCAAGATCAACCTTCCGGGTCCACGTGGCTGGCCGTACGTTGGCAACCTGTTCCAACTGGGCGAGGACGCGGCACAGACGGACTACAAGTGGTGCAAAAAGTATGGTCCGGTCTACAAAGTGCAGCTGGGAGAGCGCGAGGTGTTGGTCGTCAACTCGGTACAGGCTTCCAAGGAGTTGCTGACCGACTTGGGAAGCATCTACATCAGTCGACCCTTATTTTACACTTTCCACACCGTCGTCTCTTCCACTGCCGGCTACACAATCGGCACTTCGCCATGGGACGAGTCGTGCAAGCGCAAGCGTCGAGCTGCTGCCACCGCACTCAACCGTGTGGCCGTGCAGAGCTATGTTCCCATCATTGACCGTGAGACGCTCTCGCTGGTCGAGGATCTTTACAACTCAAAGTGCAAGGCGATCGCACCTTTCCCTTACTTCCAGCGACTGGCACTGAACGTTTCCCTCGTCGTCAACTACGGCGTTCGATTGGACAAGGTGGGAGACGAGCTGCTCGAAGAGATCGTCCAAGTCGAGACGCACGTAGCCAACTTCCGATCTGTTTCCAACTCGCCTGCCGACTACTTGCCTATCGTTCGCTACCTGCCTCGCTTTGGACGCAACAGCAAAGCTTTCGCCGGACAGATCCGAGCCCATCGTGACGTATACATGAACCGACTGCTCAACGATCTCAAAGATCGAGTCAAGGCTGGTACCGATATCCCCTGCATCACTGGCAACATCCTCAAGGACCCTGAAGCCAAGTTGACGGACGAAGAGCTCTCGTCGATCTGCCTTTCGATGGTTTCCGCTGGACTGGACACGCTTGCCAACACTTTCATCTGGTCCGTAGGCTACCTTGCCAAGCGACCCGACATCCAGGAGAAAGCATACAACGAAATGTACAAGGTGTACAAGGGTGGGATCCCAAGCTCGGAGGAAGAGACTGTCGAGTACATTACTGCGCTGCACAAGGAATGTTCTCGTTACTTTACCGTGCTCAAGCTTGCTCTTCCCAAGGCGACACTCGGCGACTCGACGTACAAGGGAGTCCACATCCCCTCTGGCACTACCGTCTTCCTCAACGCCTGGGCTATTCACAAGGACAAGGAGCACTACGGCGATGTCGAAAACTTCCGCCCCGAACGTTTCCTGGAAGCTGGTGAGGAGAACAAGCAAGCGCACTACTCGTTCGGTGCTGGACGACGCATGTGTGCCGGTGTCCACCTTGCCAACCGCGAGCTGTACATTGCTTTTTGCAAGGTGATCCACTTCTTCAAGATCGAGCTGTCCGAGGATCCTGCCGAACAGGATTACGACATCAACCCGGCTACTGGATGCGCCAACCCCAAAGGTCTCAGTTCGACACCGAAGCCTTTCAAGGTGAGGTTTGTGCCACGAGACGCAGCGACGATCGAAGAATGGATCGAGAATGAAAAGTCTCGTACCGAATTGCAGATGGCTACTGAGATCCAGAAGGTTTAGAAAAGCTACATACCAATGCAATCACCATCGTCATCGAGAATATTGAGCTGTGCATTTGTCTGATACAATGCCGACGGGCCTACATGCTGGCGTTGCAGTGGTCATCACTTGTATGTCATGTCCCACGGCAGAATCGAGCTTTGTGTCAACAGGCAAGGGGTTTTGCCGCTCCCCGCACCTTTCCGTCGGAGTCTTGCGGCAAATCCAGAAAGCCACTGTGGCAAGCGGTGCGAAGTGTCGAGAGCAACATCTTGCGCTCCTCCTGTCAGAGAGCTTCTTTGCAACACTGAATGCCGAATGTCGGATGGCAAAACCATCTGAGCATCGAGTGGTCGCACATCATCGCAGCTTCCTGCCGCCAAGATCAACCTGCGTTAAAACGACGATCAGCGCTGAGACGAAAGGAGAGGTGGCAACAATGAAGTCGTTTATCGAGTATCCCAACGATCATCCCTTCTCGATCCACAACCTGCCCTATGGAAGTTTTTATACGAATCAAGATGCATCTTCACGACGATGCGGTGTTGCAATCGGTGACTGTATCCTCGATCTGCAAGCGCTTTCTTACACTACCTTCTACCCAGGTGTGTTGCCGCGGGACACGTTCGCTGGAGTAAGTGGCGCACAGCTTATCAACATTGTACAGACTCGTTACTGACACACTCTTCCTCCCTTCTCACGGTTCCGCAGCCGACGCTGAACGCCTTTATGAGCCTGGACAAAGACATTTGGCTTGTCTTCCGAGTCCAACTCCAGGAGCTCCTATCAGAAGGCTCGCCAATCAATCTCGAGACCACCATCACAGTCTCCAACGCAGCTCCGAATGTCAACGCAGAGTCGCACATCGGACGTCGGCTCTTCGTAGACCGTCTGAGCGAGGGCACAGCCATGTGTCTACCCTGCGACATTGGCGATTACAGCGATTTCTACTCCAGCCTTGAACACGCCTATAACTGTGGAGTCCTCATTCGTGGTAAAGAGAAAGCGATGCAGCCAAATTGGAGGCATTTGCCCGTAGCTTACCACGGTAGAGCATCTTCCATCGTCCCGTCTGGCACTCCGATACATCGACCGGTAGGGCAGAGGCTGAAGAATAAAGACGATACCCAGCCAGTGATTGAGCCTTGCGCGAGGCTCGATTTTGAGCTCGAAGTGGGATTTGTAAGTGCTTTTCTCATTGCTTTTGGCGATGGTGGTTATGTTCTGTTGAGCTGACTCTTTGTGTTGTCCGTGGTGATTGCAGTTCTATGGAGGTCAAGCAACAAAGCTTGGAGAGAGGCTTTCGCCAGCTCAAGCAACAGATCGGGTGTTTGGCGCTGTTCTGCTGAATGACTGGTCTGCTAGAGATATCCAGACTTGGGAGTATGTGCCGCTTGGTGAGTGTCAGCGCTGCTCGTCACGTATACTCAGCTTGAAGGGTGTTGCTAAGCCTTCTACTTCTCGACTGTGATCTCTTTCGATATGCAGGTCCCTTCCTTAGCAAGGTAAGTCATCCACCAACTGTAATGTGCGCCTGATTACAAAGGATCAGACACTGATTCCGACCTTTGACTCCCCCGCAACTTGTATGACCGACAGAACTTCGCAACAACCATCTCACCCTGGATTGTGCCCATCCACGCACTCGAAGCATTCACATGTCCAGGCTACGACCACAACCCATCCCTTCTACCCTACCTCGAAGATGCCAACAATACCAACTTTGACATTCCGCTCACTGTTTCGATTAAGCGTAAGTGCTGCCCGCTTCACAACTTTCTACCCTCCTCCCGCTGATCGCTGTTTCCTATTGGTCATTGCTGTATTGCAGCAGCCGGATCTGCAAGCGACCCAAAGGAGGGCTTCACCACCATTTCGCACTCCTCCCTCCGCCACACCTACTACACAATCCGACAAATGATCGCACATCACTCCACCACCGGTTGTCCACTCAAAGCCGGCGACTTGCTCGGAACAGGCACGCTCTCCGCACCTGGCACTGAAGGCTATGGATCTCTGCTGGAAAAGTGCGAGATGGGGAAAAGACCTTTCAAGGTGAGGTTAAGTAGAGGGGAAGAAGTTGAAAGGACTTTCATCCAGGATGGTGATAGGGTCAAGTTCGAGGGGACTGTCAAATCGAGTGATGAAGAATGGTCGATTGGGTTTGGTGAATGTGTGGGGACGATTCTTGCTGCTATACCTCTATGATAGCCCTCTTGAGCCAAACAGACATACCCAGACAGTGGTGTATAGAGAATCAAAGCAAAGTTCCATTGCAACATAGTCTGACAGAAAGGTATCAATGAGTGAAACAAAGAAGGAGCGAAGGGGAATGTGGGAGAAAGGAAGGACAAAGCAATGAGCATCACACTAACTTATCAAGGAATGTAGAAGAAGGAGCGAGATTAGAAACGAGTGACAATGCCAGAACAAGTTCTCTTACCAATCGCGAATCGTCTCGCATAAGGCTTGAGATCAGGCTCGCAGTTCTGCTTGGGTCCCGCAACAAGATTTGCACCAGCGACCAAAAGCAATGCACTAGCCTCCTTCTTGTTCTGCGGCGAGAGGGGATCGGCTGGGAGAGGGTTGCAATCGCTGGAACGGTAATCTTTCGACTGTGCCTGACCGGTGGGTGAAGCGAGAGCGCTCTTGCCGACAACATAAGAGAACTGCGAAGTGAGCGAACCGGCATGGTCGATGATAAAGAGAGGACCGCAGACGGATTGAGCCTGAATGTTCTTGGCGTTGAAAAGATGGCTCGAGTCCAAAGGAGAATTGGTGATTTGGGGTTGGACGATTTCGTCGGTAGCAGAGTAGAGGTTGGTGGTGGGGACGATCTGGTTGAGACCACCAGCATTCTGCAATGCGGTGACGAAAGCTGAGCCTGCGGTCTGCTGCCAGACACTCTGAGAGCTGAGTCCGACAGCGTTGAGAAGACCAGCTTCGATGGTACCCTTGTAGTCGGGAGCGAAGGCCATGAGGCGGTCAACCTTGCTTCGGATGCTGGGGAAAAAGGTGAGAGCCCACTGAGCAGCAAGTCCACCCTGTGACCAAGTGAGGACGGGGACCTTTTTGGATCGACTACCGGCGTAAAGGATGTTGACCGCGTTGACAATGTATTCTGCGTTGACTTGGGAGTCGTTGAGCATAAAGGGAGGGGGAGAGATCCAGCACGGGTTGTATCCAAGACGGGCGGAGAGAGGGATCCAGTTGGAGTCGAAGGACTGTTTGCCAGTGGCACCCGTTCCGGGAACGAGGAGGATGGGCTTGGATTGGGAAGAGGGGGAGCCGTTCTGGCAGGTCAAGCCGGCATCGAGGAGGGATTTGGGAGTGGAAAAGGGTGGGTGGAAGCCTTGAGGAAGTCGCTTGACCAGGGGAGAGGCGGTGACCGCCGAAGCGGCGAGGGTGAGCAAGCTGACAATCATGGAGAGTTTCATCTTGGGCGAACACTGTTGGGAGAGGGGGAGGAGGAGGGGGTAGGAGGAGGAGGGGGTAAGGAGGAGGAGGGGGTAGGAGGAGGAGGGGGTAAGGAGGAGGAGGGGGTAAGGAGAAGGAGGGGGTAAGGAGGAGGAGGGGGTAAGGAGGAGGAGGAAAGGGGGCTTGACGTTTCAACAGGGAGGAGCGAGAAGGATGGGCGTATGTATAGCTATTCATGCTTGCATGGGAGAGGCTGAAGGACACAGGGTTACGATCTCGTGCTTCCTGCTACAGACACACCAACGCACGCTCCCTCTTGCATACACACATCACGAGGCGTAAGAAGAGCGAACTTGGAGAGCATGCCCTCTTTCATCCCCAATGAGAAGCGGAGGATGAGGGTTGAGCATCGCATATACTCGCTTCTATCGATGCGCATGAATCGCACCGAACCCATGAGCGGCAGGAGCATAGAAAACAGAAAACCAAGACGTCGGCCGGTGTCATGCTGCTTAAACCCCAGGCGATGTCAACCCGCGGCGCTTGGCCATGCTTCCCTGCGGCAACTTAGGGTTGGTAGAACGATAGAGGATGAGCAGCCATTGGCACTTTGCTTGTTCGTTTGGCAAGCTAGAAGGAGGTCAAGAACTGCAGGAGCGTTGGCACTAATGTGTGAATCAAGTTTTGCCCCGCTTTCTTGTGCTTGTCGATGGAAGACGTCGATTGCGATGTTAGTCATGAACTAAGTACATAGTGATTCGAATGTATATATATATATATATATATATATATATATATGTCTCCCAGCATTCTATGTATGATACAAGGACGATCAGACTGAAACGTAACGGCAAAACTACGGGGAAACCAGGTCGGCTATCTATTAACCGGCATACCGATGACAGCCGCCATAGCCGATGCGGGTAATGTGATATACACCCGAGCGAGTGTAGGTGCTATCGGGACAGACAAGTAAAAGATGAGTAGATGATGGACTTTGAGATAGAGATGCAACTGCACGTGCCTGAGTGTGACGCAAAGCGACGAGAGAGTGAGACAGTGACAGGGTCACGTGACCGAGCGCAACACAAACCCTTGTGACAGCGTGTGAAGTTGGTGTTAGAGTTGAAGCACGTGAGCTCTAGTTCGATCTCACATCGACGCCAACTTTGCTGGCGAAAGGAGTTGGTAGGTATGCTTCTACTGTGACGGTGTCTAGTGTACATGCAATGTGAAAGCCCGATGGCAGGGTTGCGTGAGTCAGAAGGAGCGGAAAGTGGAGTTTGCCCCATACAACGGAGATGGGAGGGGATGGCAGGATCCCGACGGCAAACGATGCTATGGCTGCTGCTGCTGCTGCTGCTGTGATGATGATGGTGGAGGCGGAGACTGATAACCGAATCGGATCCGTTTGTGGACTTCATCTTGATAGTGCGCAGGATGCTGGTATGGCTGAGTGGTGCTTACTTGAGCACTTGCTGGGGCGTTGCGGTAGCCGTTACCGTTACTGCCAAATGCAGATCGATCAGTGTTAGAAGCGTGTTGACTGCTGCTGTGAGCATTGAGACTGCGTGGAGACGGTGCTGTCCGTTGTTCGTCTTTCCTTCTTCTTCTGTTCATTGCTGCTGGTGCGGCCACTGCTGCTGATGGTGGTGCTGCGTTTGCATGTGGATCCGAATCGACTTGCATCGCAGCAAGAGGACTGATAGACGAGCCTGATCCTGATCCTGAAGCAGTAGAGGCGTTGCCCGCAACCAAACCGGCATTCAAGGTATTGACACCGGCAGGAGTGAATGGACTTGCACTAGTGCTGCTGATTGGGAAAGGTGAGCTGTGTTGGCTGCTAGCCATGGCTGGTGTAAGGCCTGCACTGCCATTCCGACTTGCACTGCTACCACTGCTGCTACCAATTATACTGCCACCAATTACACTGTCACCAATTACACCGTCACCAATTACACCGTCACCAATTATACCGCCACTACTACTTGCACTGCTCTGTCCGTTGAGCTTTTCACTCCTGCTTCCGTTGAAGGCGAGGGGATGCACCTCTGCAGCGACAGGTGGCTCGGCCAGCAGATAGTCACTGTGGCTCCTCACCAAGCTAGCGTAATAATGCTGCAAGACAGTGCCGGAACATATCAACCTCCAATCGATAATCTGCAAAAACTCCTTCTCCAAGAGATTGATCTCCTGTAGACTTATACCTCCCACCTTGGCATAGTGCTCGTTGGTATTAAAGGCATCGCAAAGCGCCTTGCTCGCACACAGGATTGCGGCACAGATGAAACGATGCACTGTCAAGCCGGATATCGTGAAACCGTCGAGGCGTTCGCAGACGCGATCGATGTAGACGAGGAGGATGAGGAGGCAACATTTCTCGATCGAGGTGTATCTGGCTATACGCCGTAGATAGGCGGAAAGGGTGATATTGGGTGTTGCGCGTGAGTGGAAGCGTGTGAGTGCGGAAGGATGGAGCGGGAGGGAGTCGTTGTGTTCGGTGAGCTTGACGAGCATATCCACTACTAGGACAAGTACGTCGTCGAGTTGAGCATCGTCGAAGAGGTAGGGGAGGACTTTTGGATCGTGGGAGTGGCAAGGGGAGCCGGTAGTGGTGACGGTGGCGGTGGTAAGGGGAGCTGGTGGCGGTGGCTTGTGCAATGATGGCTGTGATGAGGATGATGAGGATGATGAGGATGATGATGACGACGCTGCTGCTACTGCTGCTGCTGCTATTTGTGCTGCTATTTGTGCTGCTGTTTGTGCTGGCTTGGACGAGTTGGGTGCTGAGAGCGCATTGAGAGCACAAGTGGAAGGATGAGAAGGTGAAGAAGCGTGTGCCGGTGCCTGTGCCGGTGCCTGTGCCGGTGCCGATGGCGATGTGAATGTGGCTGGTGCCATCCATGCTGGGACTGGAAAGCCAGAGGGAAGATGCGACGATGCTGAGGAAGCCGAGGAGAGGGAGGATGAGGATGGCAATGGATGAGTCATGGCGGGCAACAGCAAAGACTCGTCGGAAGCATGCCGAACATTCGATTGTCTAAAATCACAGCCAAGTGCACCGGTATTCCGTGTGAATTGGGTCGGGCCAGCCGGTGTGCCTATTCAGAAGTGTGATTGGTGCAGAAAAGAGAGGCGGCGCAAGAAGGGATGTCGGAGGTGCCGATGGATGGTGTCTAAGGTCTTTCTCGAAGAGTGTCGGTTGAGCCGAATGGAGAGTAGTGGGCCATGATAGCAAGCAAGCAAGGTGCCTTGAGCTTCTAAGCAGATCAGCAGTGTTCGCTTGACAAAGTGGAGGCTGACAGATTCCAGAAAAAGCGATGTCGGGCCGATCCGAAAGGCGATAAAGGCCGAATCGACGAGGCTTGGCTACCCGCTATGAACAAGAGACCCTGCTGAGTGAGATCCAGTCCATAAACCAATACAGCCGGCAGGGACGCGAGGACTTTGCGCCTTGGTCGTGGAGAGGAGCAAGAGCAGGGGAGGGTATGAGAGGAAGGTATGAGAGGAGATGGGGATGATGGTGAGAAGCAAGAGAAAGCGAAGATACGGTGTTGTGCGTGATGGAAAGTCATTCGTTGGGTCAGGAAGCTCGAATTGCGAATGTCAGCAGCAAAGCGCAGAGTCGAGGCCGAGTTGCATTTGCACTCGTTCCGTCTCTTGCCCTTGGTTCGATTCGACTTGCAATAAAGGCTGTGCTCTTTCAATGGTCCATCTTCAGTCGCTCCCATTGACAGGCTGGCCTTTGGCGGTACGAGGCGCTTAGATTCTGAGCAAGCCTACACAGACACAGGCCCAGCTAAAAGATTGCCAGACTGAGACTGCATTGTGTTAGGGGGTTCGAGGGCAAGCAAACTAACTGTATAATGTCCACCAACCGGGCAAAATTCGTGGACAGCTTAGGCGTGCTGAAGATGGCGATCCAGCAGATCTAATCGGGGAGCAGATGGACCCACGCTAACCGGAGAGAGAATAGATCTGATTTAATCGGGAATCAGACAGAGCCGATCAGAGAGAGGATGGACGCTATTGCCCGCCCGTTGTTGTACTCTGTCATTGAGGGTGATACTGCCACCTATGGGATGTAGAGCGCTCAAGGCTCTTGCCATGTTCTCCTCTCAGTCAATCGAGTATATATGTTTCTGCCCTAAAACAATAGTGACATCCTACTGAGACTCTACCCGATCGCCAGTATCGGGACCAAAACGTCTTCCTTTTTTATCAAGGCGCGCTTCTGAATCGCCGATCAACCTTTTCGTCCGCTTTCCCGATGCGTAAGCAGATTGCAAGAGTCAACTCAGCCTCAGCCTTGGTGGAAAGTACAAAAGGTTGCACGCTTTGCTTTACACCTTGTTGGCCACCTCATTCGATCTCACTCCCGCCCAACACGTAATCATGGACCAAAAGGACAACGCAAATCCCATCGTCTATCAGTCAGGCTCCAGCTCGACTCAACGACGTGCTCCCTCCAGCGCCAACTCGGAATGGTGGCGTGACCATTCGATTCACTCTTCCGTACAGTCCGTCGGTAAGGCACCTTCGGGAAACGGCATCGCCACCATCGGCTCTTGTACAAGTGCCATCTCTAGCTCCAACCTCGCTGCATCCTTCGCAAGAGCTACACGATCTACCATCGACCACGACGACGAGGAGGAAGAAGAGCAGGATGAACACCATGTAGATATGCTAGCCTCCTCTTCTTCACCCTCTCCACCCACTTTGCCCGACACCGAACTCTCCTCCTACCGCGGGAAAGTAGACCTCCCCACCTCTACCCTGGAGGAAAGCATCGACAATCAAGAAATCTACGACCTCATCCGATCCATCACTGACCCAGAGCATCCTCTCACCCTTGAACAACTGGCCGTAGTCAACGCAAACCACATCACCGTCTCGCATGGCGATCAAGCGAGGAACAAGCTCCCGCACGTTCTGCTCGAGTTCACACCTACGATCCCACACTGCAGTATGGCGACGCTCATCGGTCTTTCTCTTCGCGTACGTCTGCTTCGCGCACTGCCAGATCGATTCAAAGTCGACATTCGCGTGCGTGCCGGAACACACCAGTCAGAGAATGCAGTCAACAAACAGCTCAACGATAAGGAAAGAGTAGCAGCAGCATTGGAGAACTCGCATCTCTTCAACGTCGTACAGGCATGTCTGGCGAGTGCGGCTAGGAGAGGGAAGAGCGCAGATGAAATTGCTGGCTACCTCAATGCTCCACCGACGCCTGATGGTGTTAGTGATCAGGATCATCAGAACATCTGCAAGACTGTCGATGAGATCACGACTCGCATGGGTATTGCTGTCTAAGCTCATTTATCCCTGTACATATACCATCAATGCCAGCTCAGCTTTCCACACCCTCCGATATCGACGACTGTCGTTAAGCAATCCATACAATTACAAGTAAAAGCCTATCGAAACGCTCACCTCCTCACCGGAGTCCTTGCAGCAGAAGAAGGCCCCCAACTCGCCTGTACCGCACCTCCACCACCACCATCTCCACCATCTCCACCATCTCCACCTCCACCACCACCCTCCTGCTTGATCTTCTTCTTTTTCTTCTTTGGCCTTACGGCTTCTTCTTCATCTGGCTCCAACTGTGCTTGATCGATCTCCGGCACAGGTCCAGGCTCTAGACTGAATGCAGCCTGCATCGTTTCTCGATCGAAGGGCACTATTCTTTGTGGTGTATACTCTGGTTTGAAGAGGATCGAGATGAGCCAAGTCCCCTTTTCCGCTTTTGCTGCCCTGGCACGTTTCGAGGCAGGACGAACTCGACCGGCGAGATCTTCGACATAGTGTGCGTAGGTGGCTGGTGGTTTGCTTGCTTTCCGTGCCGGTGCAGCTGATGCTGCTGACGCTGCCAGTTGGCCAGGTGATGCAGCTAGGATAGCGGAGGAATGCGTGTGGAGTGAGAATGTAGGTGCGCCTCCGTTGAGTTGAAGTGCAGGCGTAGAGATGCGACCGGTGCTAGAGGCAGCATGAGAAGCATGAGAAGCATGAGAAGCATGAGAAGCATGAGAAGCATGAGAAGCATGAGAAGCATGAAAAGCAAGAGAAGTCTGGTTGGCTGTCCCTCTTGTTGCTGGCTTTCCGGAACGAGGGGTTGCATTAGCTGTATGCAATCCTGGTGTTGCTCCTTGCGCCGTTGCTGATCCTGAGCCTGAGCCTGTTGCTACTGTTGGCGTAGCGCCCTGTGCTTCTCCTGTCGCTTTCGAGTTGGATGATGTGGTAGCCGTTGCTTCTGCTACATTCGCGCATGTCGACCCAGCCTTGTCGCCTTTTACTGTGTCTGGATTGTATGGACGTACAGCACGGTCGTATATGGGCATCAAGCCAAACAAGCTAAGCATATCTTGTGTCCCATTGAGATACGCGCGGGGCAGTTGCGCAGGTTTGTTTGTCGTTGATGGCAGATATGGCGGTAATTGCGGTGATGTGCAGCTGGATGAGGCTGTCATTGCCGATGTCGTGGCAAGAGGCAAAGAGGCAAAGAGGCAAAGAGGCAAAGAGCGAGAGAGGCAAAGGGAAAAGGTGTAAAAGAAATGAAGATAACAATTAATATACGGCGTTATCGGGGTCACGATCAGACTCCCTTTACCACAGCCGTATGTTCTATGTAATGCTTAGTTTTCATGGTGTGAGACTGAATGACAAACACATATATATACTCCATTCACTGCTCTGGTCCTATTTGAGGCAGGATGTGTCTCTTCATTTGTACTCCTGTGTTGCTATGATACCAGGTGCCACTGTGCTGTCACCATGACAACAATTACGTACCTCATTGTACTTCTCGCTTACGTGAGCCTCCCGTGTCTCAATGTCTCGGCCGTAACATGTGCATCTTGCTTGAGATGCCGACGCATCTTCAACTCCCCCCTTCGGCGGGATCTCCAGTCCTATCATCCTAGCCAATCGTGAGGTGTTAAGACCCTGTAAGGGTTTTGTCAAGACATCTGCAACGTTGTTTGCCGTTCCGACATATTTGATTTCCACATCGCCCTCTTGCACGTGATCGCGAACGAAATGATACTGTGTGTTGATGTGCTTTAACTTCCAATGTTTGGCTGGGTCTTTACTCACCTGTATGCACCCCTGGCTATCTGTGTATAGTACGGGCCGAACGTCCGTGGTCTCCAAATCCCGGAGCAAATATGAGAAGAATAAGGTTTCTCGCACCGCTTCGGAAGCGGCGACAAACTCTGCTTCGACTGCCGACAATGCCACACACTTCTGAACGTGTGATTTCCAACTCACTGGACACCCATATACATATGTTATCGACCCCGAGGTGCTTCTTCGTCCATTTGTGGGGTCGGATGCCCAGTTTGCATCGGTATACGTCGTTACCGGTGTATCCGAGTGCTCGTTTGTCTCCCCTCCTAGGTGCAGCTGATATTCGTTCGTTTGGTTCAGGTACTTTACCATGCGAATGGCTGCCTTCCATGCACTGTCGATCGGGATCGACATATATCGCGCCAATACGCTGACAGCAAAGGCAATATCTGGTCGGGCTGTGTTGGAGACCCATAATAGTTGGCTGACCAATTCTTGATACTTCTTTGCTCGCTGAGGTTCACATCGCTCGCCTCCGGCGACGTTCGCTACACTCAGCATGGGTACCCAAGATTTCTCGTTTGCTCCTCCTAACCATTTGTTCACCATTTCCTTAATGTATGCCGTTAGACCCAGAGATATCCTCCTCTGTCTTCTATCACGTGTGATCTTGATACCCAGAAATTCTTTGATTCTTCCATTGTCTTGCGTCTCCCATTTGTCCATGATCTCTCGCTTTGCGTGGTCTACTTCATCACGACTGGGTGATGTTATTAGCATGTCGTCCACGTATGCTGTGATGATCGTGATCTTGTCGCCTGTCCCTCTTGAGTATAGGCATGGTGTGCTCGGCATGCAATGGAATCCGATCGTCCGGAGATGTGAGTCTAACTCAATGTTCCATTCTCGGCCCGATTGTTTCAGACCGTACAGTCCTTTCACTACCTTCAACACTTTTCCAGGTGGTATTTCGATTCCTACTGGGGGCTTGAGGTATACATCATGGTGTATAGTGGAGTTCAGGTACGCTTGCTTTACGTCAATAGAATCCATTTCCCAATCTCGTACTGCTGCGACAGCAATCACCCCTCGAATGGATTGGATGGGTGCTACTGGTGCGAAGACCTCTGTATAGTCGATGCCCTCGCGTTGAGTGAAACCTCGTGCCATGAGCCGGGCTTTGAACTTTGTCGGCACGAGGTTTGCATCGGTTTTGATCTTGAGTACCCAACGTGTGTCGACGGTATTTGCACCCTTTGGGAGGTCGACTATCTCCCATGTGCCCATCGCCTCCAATCCATCCAGCTCCTTTCGCATGGCCTCCTCCCAGTGCTTTCTGTCCTTTCCACTCATTGCTTCATGTATGGTTGGGTCCAGGTTCTTTCTCCGTTCCGGTCGCGTCGCTACGAGTCCATAGAATTCGCTGTCAATTTGAGTTTCGGCGATTGGTCCTTGTTCCATCACCTCTGCTGTTCCTTCGCTTAATCTTTCTTCCGGGTCTGTCTCCATATCCATGTATTCTCGTAGTGGCTCTTCATCTGTTTCGTCGAATATATTTTCTTTGTTGTATCCTAGATCTTCGAAATTCTCCTCTGTCATCATCATTGGGGGTGCCTTTGTGTCAACCGGTCGCCACTCTGTTCTGTCTGACCAGCACTTTGATTCCATGAATTTTGCTGAGTTGCTCCAGAAGATGTTCGGATTGTAGTCCGGGCTGTAGAAGAGCCAGCCCTTCCTTTCTAGACTGTACCCTAAGAAAATGGATGCGACGGCTCGCTGGTCCAGTTTCTTGTTGTCCCGTTTAACTTTGGGTATGTTTACCCATGCCAGACAACCAAACACTCGTAGGAGCTTTAAAGCTCGTTCCGGCGACTTGCCAAACATCGCTTGATAAGGGAATTCATTATCAACGCTCGGGGTGAGGTTTATTTTGAACGCCGCAGCTCTGATCGCATATGGCCAGAACTTCTTCGGTAGTCTCCTCTGCATTAGCAACGTTCTCATCTTCTCTCCAAGGGTCCTGTTCATTCTTTCTACCCGTCCATTTTGTTTGCTGTTGTACCCTATGGTGGTTTGCCACTCTATGCCCTTTTCTAAAGACCATTCTAATGCATCATTGCTTTTCCATTCCGTTCCTTGATCGGATCGGATCGCTTTTAGCTTCCGATCCGTCTGTGTCTCCAGGAACGAAACAATCCTTTTAAGTTGCATAAAGGCATGACTCTTTCGTGTCAATGGCTGTGCATACACATACTTGCTATGATCGACGACCAGCACCAATGTGCATGTGTACTCTGTCACATGGGACGAGTCTATTATTAGATCGACGTGGATAAGATCCAGGGGCCCTACGGCTCTTTCGCCGCTACCTTTCCCCATCCGAGCGCTTGTGCTCTTGGATCGTATGCACTGCTCACATGTCAGAGCAGTGTTTGGATCCAATTTCATGGTATGCTTATCCTTTAACTTGGTTGTGATCACCTTAGCTTTATCTCTTCCTGGGTGCCCGAGATGCTCATGCCATAGTTGTTGCTTTGAAACTTTCGGCTCATTCTCAATATGCTCAAACTCCTCATCAACACCTTCAAACAATGGTGCTGATGTGGCCATCGCGCTTTCTTGCCATGTGTCGCCTCGGAACTCCAGAAGTCCTCGCTCGCGATTCTTTGCAATCTTAAGTGTCATGCCGTTTGTTAGAAAAATTTGGCTGCCGGTTGTGTCCAATATCACTCGTGCTCCTTCATCCGTTAATGAATTTGTTGACAGAAGGTTAACATTAAGGTGCTTTACATACAATACATTTTGCAGAGAGATTTCCCCGTAATCTGTTGATATGCTTGCATCTCCTATAGCTGCCACTTCCAAGACCTCGCTTCCGGCAGTAATTATCCGCTTTCAGCAAGTTCTCGGGTGGATGAGCATGCTGTAGTCGTTCACCATATGGTAACTCGCCCCCGAGTCCAAGATCCAATGAGCTGTTTCTTTTGTGTTCGAGGGGTCCTGCCATTTTATTGGGAGGGTGAGGGAGCACCACGCTTCCTATTTAGGTTCAGCGAGGGGGGAGTCCTTGGGAATGGTAACCAAGGCGTCGCATTGACTGATACCATGTCCCGGTCGCTTGCAGACCCAGCATCGGATTCGGCGTGATTTGCTTGCATTCCTCGAGCTCGCGTGGCTGTTGTCGGCTTCGGCTTCGGTCTCTCCGGCCCGTTCGTTTTGATCGTCATTGCCGGCAGTTCTAGCACTGGCTTGTCGAGGGTCGATCCTTTGTGCGGGGATGCTCTCAACAGCAGTCTGCCGGATGCTTAGTGCAGTAGCAAGGGCGTTGAAATCGATTTGATGGATGGTGGCAACCGTCTCCTTGTACACCGGATGCCGGATCGTGCATTTTGTCAGGGGTCTCGCGCCTGAAACCCAGGTCGGTCTGTCGAGATACTCGGTGACTATTAAACTGTGTGACAGCTATTGTCTCGGTATCGGTGACTATCAAGTTGTGCAGTGACAGCAGGTGGCGTTCGTTGTATATACTATCGTAGGTTTCGGCTGACCTCTGTGGACACTCCGTTCAGGGGTAGCTCGGCACGATCAATATCAATGTTATGATGACACCAAGGTCTGGTGTGGGTGTTGATGATGATGAGGTTGATGGTGTTGGTGATGAGATTGGTGATGTCGATGATAATGAGGTTGATGGTGTTGATGATAAGGTTGGTGGCGTCGATGATAATGAGGTTGATGGTGTTGGTGATAAGGTTGGTGACGTCAACACGAGTGTCCAGTGTGTTGACTTGATGCTTGAAGTGATCCCCGGACCGCAGTGGACTACTGCCTTCGGTTCTATCTATATCCGGACCGCTAACCTGCTATGGGCGCCTTCGGACGTCAGGTAGTGGTGATACAACACACACACTACGATGAGGAGCAACCTTGATAGATTGCTGCTATGCTGACTGAAACTAATGTATACTTATGCTGAAGTGATAACTAGTTATGGTGAGTAGAGTGGATGGGGATCCACTCGACCTATGATGATGAGAAAGCATGGTTATATACCTCTTCACAGCATTGCCAGCGATGCTGCTCCTGCTCTCTCTCCAGAGAGTACCTTCTTCATCGAGTACTGCTCAGGGCCTCTCCTGCTTGGCACCCCTGTGCCTCTTGTCGACACTGCTCCTCCTCCTCATGACCTGGTGTCGACTCCTTCGACACTGCTCCTCCTCCTTTGATCAGTGACAGTTCCTTTGGCTCTTGTCTCTCGAGCCCCTGAGTGGTAACCATCTGCATGCTCCTTGAGCTTGGTCCTCTTCGTGGCTGTGCTTGGCCCTCCTTTGCATGTGAGTCCATAGGAGTCCATGGTCTCCATGGAGACTGCACTACGACCATGCTTTCTACTGGTGTCGAC